GACTTTCCCCGGGGGTTGGGTTCCCGTATTGATTTTCTGACCGTTTCCTGGGAAAATTATCCGAGCGAGAAAATCCCGTACGGCACGCGATTCGAAGGAAAATGAACCGAAAATAATATTACGTGCGCCGGTCGTGGCGATAAAACGTCGCTATTTTTTCGCATTTTTTGGGACGAAAAAATGACACGAATATTCCCTGAACTTTGATTCAATGTGCAATTTAGTCCCTGAACTTTTAATGTATTCGATATAGTCCCTGAACTTGTGCGTAATATTCAATTTGATCTCCAAACTTTTAATCTGTTCAATGTGGTCCCTGAACTTTTAGTATGTGTTCAATTTAGTCCCTAAACTATATGAAAATATTTAATAAAGTCCCTGAATTTGAATTAATGAAAGGACTATATTGAATATTTTTAAATAGTTCAGAGATTAAATTGAACACATACTAAAAGTTGAGGGACCACATTGAACGGATTAAAAGTTTAGGGACCAAATTGAACATTAGGGTAAAGTTCAGGAACTACATCGAACAAATTAAAAGTTCAAGGATCAAATTGCATCTCAGGTCAAAGTTTAGAGATTATTTATGTCATTTTTCCTTTTTGAAATATATTCTTACTCCGTTTTACGTACCAAAGGAATTTGCATATTTTCACGTTCGTTTATGAAAATTCCTTTCTTCAGTTGGAAATTCACGATCGTTTCCAAATTTTTCTATATGTCGATAAATAGCCAAACATGTGGACTCGTGTTACATGAACGCGACGTGGAGGCTTCGAGTCGGTACCCGCAGCATTTACCTTCAAGCCGGGAACGGATCCAACGGGGTCGAAATGGTCGCGGTCGGATTGGATTCGGTGCCCCGGCCCCGTTCGTCCGGAAGTGGCTTGCTCTCGCCGGACACCTGCTCTCCTCGGCCGGAATCTCAAGACGGCGGTGCCGGCCGGATGTTTCGACCTCGACGGGAGCGGCCGGGGTCTTCGACGGGAGATGCAATTTGGGTATTAGATTTTGAGATGGGATCAAACGTTCCTTTATAGGAAGGTTTAAATTTATACGAAAAGTACGTCGTACCAAAAAGGAAGAGATTATGAGGGGCAAAATCCGAACGATGTTGACCAATAAAAACGCCTTTTCTTGGGGCGGGGCCAAAGTGAAAAAAGGTGCCGGTGGTTTTGGGGGGCCATTCCGTCCAATCGGTGGGGCATCTAATAGAAAAGGGCCGACTTTCATTTCGTTCGTCAAGAAAATTGACGAGAGGGGAAATGACAATTATACCCCTCGCTCTTTTCCTTTTTTTTTTCTTTTTCTTTTCTTTTCTTTTTGTTCCTTTTTTGGAAATTTTACAATAGCGGTAAGTATGGCCGATATTTCTTTTTTTCTCGACCGTAAAGTTTTACTGATTGGTGTTATCGCTCCGGTGGACCGATTTCATTCTCGAAAATGGTTTTTCTGTTTGGATGATCATGTAACGCGTCTTTTTCTCTACTGTCTCTCTCCCTCTTTCTCCCGCGCTACTACGACCAAAATTGGGTTGGTGTGCCGTGATTGCGTTCCGTGTCAAATCGGTTAGGCCTAAAATATCTTGGTTTCCATTTTGCACGCTAAAAAAATAAATGAATTACAATGAAAGAATGCCAATTCATGTCAACACACGGAGTTTAGACGTGTCATACCATGTCATATTCGGATTTTCTCATTGTAATCGGAGTTTTTTACCTCGTGCTCTGTTCGTGTCGTCTGTTCCGTTAAGAAGGAAAAGTGATTTTCTATCTTTGGAACCAAGAAGTTCTTTTCTCTTCTTTCTCCTCGAAATCTAGTTCGTTGTTCGAATTTTAAAAATTATATAGTACTATTCAAATTTATATGCCAACATCGTCAGCCATGACGACTTAAGTGCTATCTAATAAAAAAAAGTTCAAAAGATCTAAAGTGCTGCACTTAAAATAATAATAATAACAAAAAAGAAACACGGGTCGTTCCGAATTGCCGGCCCGACAGAGACCAATTAGCACGACTTGAAATGAATTGGTAAACTATAGATTATTGTACTAATCTTTTTGATGGATATGCGCATGTCGTTTTCGAAAAATCTAAGCCAAAAGAGGTTCATTTCAAGCATCGTTTACATCCGTCTTGATAAAGGTATTTGGGAATCATTCCGTTCGATTATGCATATTTTAAGCCGTTTGATTCTCTCGCTTTTGTTTTTCTTTAGGGTAAATATCACGAAAATCCTCAAACGGGTATACTCATGCCAAATTTACTATAAGCTAATTTTTGAATCGCAAAAAACTCCAAACCGGTATACTCGTGACACATTTACTCCTCGTTAGCCGCCGTCAAATTTTACTGTGAAATTACTGAGCTGGATGACGCTTGACAATGATTCAAGTAACTTTGTCGCAGGTGTACCAATTTGAAATTTTTGGTGACCCAAAAATTAGTTTGGTGCACTTGTGTAAAAATTTGGAGTTTTTCGTAGTATTAACCATTTTCTTTAAGCGAACAAAAACTGGCTCTACTTCTAGCCGTCGCGGAGATGCGACCACCCATTTTTCAATTGTTTTAGGTTTGACTCTATAAAATTTCACAGGTCTCCGAAAAAATAAATGAAAAATTTTATGTCGTCGTCTCGAAAATTTAATGTCTTTCCTAATCAACTCCATGTATTTTTTAAATATCTCTAGCCGAGTTTTTATAGGTTAACAAATTTTCTAATCAACTCCATCCGAGCCAAACTCCGACACGGATAATTTATGCTGGTGTTCACACTTATGTGGCGCAGAAAGGTTTAACCAATATAAAACAGCATCGGAATTATGATGTCGATAAATTGTAGCCAGTGTCGATACCCAAGTGGATGTTCGATTGGAAGAATTTTACTTAGGTCACATGATGACACCATCCGGCGGTCACGTCAGCTGAATTTGGCCATATTTGGCGTCAGACGGACTGAATTAGAAAATTCACGAAAATAGAAAGACTCGATTCGATAAATTAAAAGTACAAAAATTTAATTAGAAAAAAGCGTGGAAGTACAAAGACGAAAAATATAATTTTTTCAACAGAAAAAAAAAAAAACTTCCTATGTTCACTGGTACACAATTCTTGCACAGAGTTATTTTTTTCTTCCTTCGGTGGAGAACACATTTGCAGTACCGAAACGACAACTATAAAACGACCCGGCGTCACATGACAACCATGCGCATCGTGCGCGAATCCCATGTCTTGTCTCCAACCAATTTTGACTTTCCTTGAACTTTAGGGAAAAAGGCCGAAAAAAAAAATATCTTAAACTATACCCATATCGACATGTTTATTTTGAAATACCCACTGCCACACATTTATCCTAAAATTTTTCTTGTGAAATAAAAAATCCCAAATTTGTATTTACACAACATATTTACCCTTCATCAAGGCTTCGTTTGATGATTTTTCAGCTCAAACAACGTCGTTTTTATTTTACTTCATATCAATACATTTTGCTTTCTGGTGTTCGTGTAGATAGATTTTTAACGGTTCTTATTGACAGAACTTTGACGGAAAGTAAATGTGTCACGATGATACAAATTTGAGATATTTTGTGTCACGGGAAAAATATTTAGAGGAAATATGTCACGGCGGGCCTAGTTTACGATTTTTTTTGTGGCTTTAACCCTAAACTTCGTTGCGAAAACCGGGGGGCTGTTGCGTTCTGTCTCGTCCATATCTTCTCTTCAGATCATCTTAAGCCATGGATTCGAACCAACAGCAAAATCCTTTGTCGATAAGAGAGAGAACGGCAAAGTGGGGAAGCACAATTTGCTTTGGACAGTCTCGTGACGCGATAGGGGAGGGGGCGGGGGCAACCATCATGTACGGCGAGGATCAAGATGCCAAAGCTAAAGAGAAATCGTTTGAGGTCGACATGTTTGACTTGGCAACGTCGAGTGATCAAGGAAAGGTTTGGGGACTCCAAACCCCAAAAAGTTAAAAGCATTTTGAATTCTGACTGCGGGCTTCAGTTTTCCGCCCTCAGATTAGTGGAATCTTGCGGTCCAAAATTTGGAGGAAGTGGGACCGGTCCCCGAAAAGATTCGATGACCATGGGCATTGAATGTGTTGGCCCCATGATGAGACTTTGCATTATCAATGACCTTAGACTAGATCTACGTCATAACTTCTCGTCGGTCTCCGGACGGTGTCATTGCCTTGGTGCGAAAAGTATAGAAGTGTCTGGTGCAGTCCTACATTGTAGCTATGAAAGCTTAGAGACAGGTACACCAACTTAGAGATGGAATTCTAGGAAAACAAAAATAGAAAATCACATGAGAGAACAATAGCCCGAAACAATATTTGCAGTCCGATTCAAGTGCACATTGCAATTAAGGGTAAGTTTGTTTCGCCATGAATCAACACTTTCAAAAAGAAAAATTTTGAGTATTATTTGTCCTACAGCATAGTAAAATGATTAATAAAAAAATTATCTCCATTAGTACAAAGAAGGCCTAAGTTATATAAATGATTGACAATGAAATTATTTTTTATTAACTCGATTTCCTAAGTTACATAAATGATCTAAGTCATGAAAATTTCTTTCTAAATGTTGCTTTTCCATGAAATAAACTCACCATAGCACAAGACACAATCATTCAATCTAATTACGACTTCATAAATCTTTGATATTTGATAAGAGTTTTGAGTTGAGAAAACACTCCTTCATTTGACCTCCACATCTTGTCTTCAAAGTTCAACCCTGTCCAGGCAATTCAAATTCATGCTCACGGGCGTATCTCCCGCACTTCTTGCAGACCTCAACCACTCGAAACATAACTGGTCTCTCCGAACTAAGTCGACACTAAAGTACACTCGACGATATAATCTCTGGATTCCAGTGGTACTCTGTGTCACAAGTTCAAGAACATGACCGCGGCCACTGCGATAAAATGTACCGGCCAACGGTGCAACGAAACAAGTAGCAAGTGGAAACAGGGTATCGAGAAAGCAGAGAGCTCCAAGCTCATTTGCATTTGCAAAGTATAGTCCGCAATGTCATACCTTTTTTCCCCGGAATGCATATAACTTAACTAGAAACTTTTTTCAGTGACTGCATATTTCATTGCTTTCTGCTCACTGTACAACCCATCTACTCAAACTCGAGACACAATTACAGCAACGATGTCATTGAGAAGACATGTGTCCCGACTTGTGACATTAAAAGGGCTCTCCATCTTTCAAAGATTAGAAGGAGCAACCACAATATCGCAAAGCAACAGCAGCTTGTTATCTCCTAAAACAGTTCCATCAATTGTTGGGCCACATCTGCATAAAATAATCATGGCAGCAACCAGGCTACGGTCAGTCACAAACTCGGGTCGACCTTGAAATGAAATGGAACCATTGAGAAAAAATCACAAGTAATCTCAACAAGCTAACTGCTGACATGTATTCACAAACATAAGTAAGAGCCGCAATGTTCAAAACCATATAAATATGTTCATTCTCGCCTGCAAAAGACTCTACATGTTAGTGAAACCACTAAAACTCACAAGAGGAAGCTAGGGAGATTCTTAACCTCAGCTCTTGCCATGTAATTTTCTTGGCAACAGCATATGCACGTATGAAGCATAGCATCGTATCTAAATCTACAAGCAGCTGTCATAATTTACATAAGGAAGCAAAACTTGGATACCATTTCATTACCTTGGAGAATAGATGGTGTTACTTGAAATTCCTGCCAGATACTATGGTAAGATGCAAGATCCATATTGAGGAATTTAGCAGCAAGGTACGCAGCTCCAGCAGCAATCTGATGGGGTTTAAATTGAAGCCAAAGCGAGCTCCGAAGCCTAAAAACCAATACACATTAGATAAACATTGTCGAGGGAAAAAATATAAACAACACAGAAAAGTTGCAATGGCAACCATGTAATAAGAATATTCTCGCCATATAGATGTCATACCCAATTAGCATTAGGCATTATCTTCATAATTAGATTATCTCCTTAACTAGTCCCACGACAGCAAGATTCATATCAGCTTTGATGAACGTGCATATTCAGCATGTTACCAACTGGTCCTGAGACAACAATAGCAACTATATGCGAGAAAATAAATGCATGTCAAGTTTATACCCTTACCAATTGTATAGCAGCAACCCTGGTGGATTATGTTCCAACATTCTTGGATGAGGAGATGATAACAGTACCAACTATGCAAACATCTAATTCCATACAGATGACATATCAACTCCAAATTCAGCAGCAGGGGCTCTCTTTGGACTCCATGGACACATTGAATTTAAATGAGAAAGTAAATAGGACAGCAGCACAATTCACAGCAATGCTAGACTGCTCAGTGCAAACGCCAGAATCTTCCGCTCAGCAATCCTCAAGATTGACATGCCTATCCTCATGTCACGTGGCATGCATAAGTCTGACTAAAGGATTATGAAGCAAGACCCGATCCAACAATAGTAGGGGTAGAATGGAGCATGAGGCATTTCCATGGGCGCCGAATTTCTGTTGTACTTCATATGTTACAGTTCGTGGTGCTTTTGAATGCAACTTCGTAAAGTTATACGACCAGGTAAAACTTTGGCAGGAAGCCGCTGACATAAAGCTCCTCAAGAGATTTCTAACAAGATGTCGGTGATTTTCTTGTAAATTTCAGAAAAAAAGTCAAAAGAAAATATAAAGAACAAGAACCTTTCCTTTCTATCTTTCCACTCATCCACCATTCTTTGGTTTCTTTTCCTTTCCCCCATTCATTTTCCCCATCAGCCTCTTGTTTCTTTTTTGAAGAGATAACGCATGCAGTGAGCCAATGTTACTCCCATGATACAAGAATTCAAGTATTCTTAAAATCATAGGGAAATGTCAAATAAGAATGCTGAGACTTCATCTTGAGAAAAAATTGATTTATTGGTGAAAGTGCCCGAGTGAGATCAATTGTTTTCTCAGTAGATGTGATAGTAATAGTAAAAGGAGGAAATGTATGCAGAGAGAGAGAATAGAGTAAAAGTAATGGAAGTTATGGATACAATATTATAATCATAACTTGTACCATATACACAATATTTAAAAATAATACGTACTGCGAGGGCAGAGAGAGAGAGATTCCTCTTGCTTTATCACAGCTCAAAAATAGGATATAAGTTTAAGACTCACGAGTTAACTTAGCTGCCGCATGACGATAAAATCAGCAGCAAAGAGCAGCAACAAGAAGAAAATTCCATGGCATGGCTCATGATTATATTTAGCGGTATAGACAATCGTCCAACTGTTTTTTTTTTGGGCCACAACAAGTGTGCAACTGCTGGATTCATCAACTTTTAGAAAATTTTCTGAAATTTTTAATGGTTAACGGCAGTACTAAGTCTCGTAGACGGATATATGGGTCTTTTGCATTTAAGCAAAGGAGCCACACAATTTACATTGACAACCATAAAAAAAATTAAAAATTGATACAGCAAAGATGCACGGAGGACCCCATATAAAGCTTTCGCGAAAATCATTTTTCCAACTAGATAGGAAAGAGAATTTGAGAGGTACATCCTGCAGCATTGTCCTCTCACCTTTGATGGACGGTATGACCACGAAAACCAGTCAGCTATAACAGTAATCCTGCTTGTAATAAGCAATCGTAGCACACCCTAGACATCTTAACCAGGTGAACCCAACAACCAACTTCGTTGCATCCCATCCGATTGCCAACATCCAATTGAAAAACAAGACTCTTATTATGAGATAATTTACATGGCATAGCTGCCAGCCAACATAAAATGGTTTCAGATGGTCCCACAAAAGATGACTAGGTCAGAGAACTTCCTCTATTTTCGGGCAAAAAAACAGACTCCACTACTTATAGACCAGACTCACTGTATCCTAGCATGAATAGACTTGATAAACTACTGCTTCAGTATGTGGAGCCAACTTTTCCTCTAGAAATTATTCTAAAAGGACAAAGGTAGTTAATATACAAAGAGAAAAGTTAAGTTCCCTCCACCAGGAAAATAGGTTTTCGCATGAGAACAGATCATCTTTATTTGTAAAAGGTTAAGAAAGGAAGAAAAAGTGAGTATTGAGTTGACATGAAAGTTTATCGTACAAAAAATGGGATACTGACGCAAGATATGAGAGCGAGTTTATTGCCAGTAGTCATCAATGAGCAATGATGCTACATAACCATTCACAACCTTGCTAGATGACCACCACGAACTCTATACTCGGGCTTAAAAACTTGATACTTTGTTTTTTGGTCAATTGAAAAAAAAAATGAAACATGAAAGAATAAAACATGATGGGAACTTAAAAACTTGTACTGGCAAGTGCTTAATCCACAGATAAGCTGAAGCATAACGAAAAATGAAAGAAAAACATTGATGGGAACTTATATTGTCAAAAGTCTAAAAACATGAGAATAGGTATTGTTAATGCATAAATATAGACAGATATTTACAGCTGGTCCGGCCGAGCTCCACTAAAGATCAGCTAGATCCTAAATTTTCTTAAAATAGTAGCCAAATCGCTGATTAATTGAAAAAATTATGTTTATTATGCATTATGAACCAAGTCGTTGAGATAAAACAATGACTAAATCTCCGTAAAAGGCCTTCGCTTGACGTGAGTCAATGTCGATATTACCCTACTCCTTTGGATGACTGGATTGCAAGCACCTTCTCATGAGCAACACTAAAACCAAGACCAGCCTACCTCACAACCAATATCCGCCACATTTACAAGTCACATTAACCACTAGGGTCGAGGAGAGGCAAGTGCTCAAATACGGAGAAAGTTCCTAAGTGCCTCCTCAAAATAGAAGGGAAAAAGCAGCAGCAGCGGGAACTTAATGAAAAGACTCCACTGACAAAAATCTGCAGCGATAATGCCACAAAGCTGCTAATTAGTTTCAGAAGCAGGGATACCTAACGAAGGCTGGAAACTCCTATTCAAAAAGGAAGATATAGCTACCGTCTTAAATAACGACAAAGTCCAATACTATGCACTACTTGAAGAATTGTTCACTTGAAAATGAGGCAGCTTGCAAATTGATGGCAAAAAAGCAACCCAAAAAGTGGAAGTTGTTGGGATAGACAACTGGTTCTATACATGATGGGGAGATCCTTGACAAGGAGGGACAAGTGTGAAGGAATGTGTTCAAGATAAAGCCAGTCAATATAAACCAGCACTCCAGTGGAAAATAAAACTTTCCATGAACAGCACATCAATCCGCCAGCATAGTATATCATTAAGAATGAGCACTCTAATCTGGTATAGACCCTGCAATTATATGCCATTCCAAACAAATCAATACCCCATTGCTCAAAAGAGGGAAATCAAACAGATAGCGCAGTGAATCATATAAAGAAGCATGAAGAATTCATCTCTGAAGAGACCCATACCTCAACTTGCACACTGACTTAAAGATTCCTCCAACCTATATAAATCTGTCATTTGGCTAAGGCCCTAATGCCCACACCGAACATTGAGAAACCCACCTCAATTTTCTAATTTATGTCGAATTGCAGTTTGATAAAAGCAAAATGTAGCAACACAACATCGGAGTCCTAAATTCTAATAAACAGGATGAAGGTACAGTTAATATCATAATTGGTTCGAAGTGCACTTGAGCTTCCAAGATTTCCAGCGACAAGGTACCAGCAAATAAAGCACTAAAATTATCAACTTACCCTTCACTGATCAGGTTCAGAGCCAGATTCAACAGAACACCTTGCGAAAGACCCAGCTTGTTAAGAGTCGAGGTAAGAGGAGTGTACGGATGTTGCACATTGAGCTCAAAGTTCAGTGTCGTCAAAATCAATTGCTCAGCCTCAGTTACTCGCTCCCGATATCGTTCAAACCAATCCTGCTCAACATAATCAAGAGTTAATAAAGCCAGATGCATCTTTCCACAAACTATGCATTGACAGAAGCCAAAAATAAGAATTGTTACAGAGAGTCAAAATTTGTTGATCTGGCTCCATGAAAAACCAGAAAATATGCAAATTGAACTGTGAATAACATTTACACATCTCAATAGTTTCTGCACCAACTTTTCCAATAGAAAGAAGGTCTGTGATACTTACAACAGGGAGTATATAGGACAAAAAAGAAATGTCCTGTTTATGAAAGATTTCGCAGGATGCCCGCAAGACATTGTTCAGAGGGCGTGGTGTCTCCTCAGACTTAGCAGCTAGAAACAGAGCAGCAGTGGCAATTAGCTGTAACAAAGATATCAGTAAATAAGTTAAAAAATAGTTAATCACATGAGAGCTTACCAGCAAAAAATAACAATAATAAAGAAGAAATTAGACTTAACGTATACCATTCAAACACATCCCAAGGATGAATTGAACACAACAAAGGAGCATATCGAGAAAAAATTTGTTCATCAAAAGAAAAAGAAAGTAGTTCCACATCCCCTCATGAAAAATCTATTGGAAAAACTTCACTAGTACAAAAAACTGTTCTCCACAAGAGTAGATAACTCAATTTATCACATCAGAGACATGAAAACGGCTTCAAGATGACTCACTAGAGCACATATATGGCCGAATTGTATACAACTTCTGAGCAAATCAAGGAAGAGGTTCAAATGCTTTTGAAATCCCCACAGACAGAGAGAGAGAGAGAGAGAGAGAGAGAGAGAGAGATCCATCAAGACAAATGTAAGACAAATGTAATAGGCAAGCTCCACTTTGCTCATAGAAGCACCTTTTAACAAATAGATCAGTTACTATATTTCAAGAACATTAAATTCATCAAGCTTCAAAAATTCTAGGATATAAAAGATATTTAGAAACTCACAAATCTATCGTGGCAAGCATGAGACCTTCGGACGAAAAACCGGTGGCAAAGAACCATGGCAGTTCCGATAGTGGTCTGGGGTCTGCATCAAAACACCGATTTTCTAAGCATAATATAAAGTAACCGATTTCCCAGGGAACATTAATACTAATCATAAAACAGAACTACCAAATATGAAGCCACTTGCATCTACCTATATGCAGCATAAATAAGGAAGTATAGTGCACAAGAACAAGGACTTACAAGTCGAGACGCAATCCAAGATCTTGAAGAAAAGCACAATACGAGTATCGCAATTGGGTTTCTCGTAGGGCATCAATGCCATCCTTTCTAGATGGAGAAAGTCTCTCGATCTCATCCCTTGACATGAACACCACCTCATCATCCTCTAGTCGAGACCTCTCACGCTTCCCACTGCTAGAAGTAGATGGATCTGCATTTATTCTTGCAGGAAGAGGTACTCTATTCTTCCAAGCAAGAGATGCATTATCATAAGCTCCCCACGAGGATGATGAATATTTTCTTCTTTTCACGGAAGGCGCATCATTGGGCTTCATATGTTCAAAGTTGAAATTGTCAATAGGATCCCTGATTTCCCTGGAGTTCCCACGGAAACTTTCATAATTCCCAAAATAACTGCTGCTTCTGTTTCTGGTTCTGTAATTATTGTTGCTGAAGCTGTTTATATTGGAGGGCCAATAACCATCATGGTAGGTACCTCCCTTCATGTCATAATTCCTTGTGAAAGACATCATTCCTGCAAGTTACATACCAAAGAAAATATTAGAGGAAGGATCATGGCCATGTGATTATCACATCAGCTTCATCGATAGCTAAAATCGCCTGAAACCTCGCCTAAATTCAGTAACGACTGACTATGGTATTCTTAAAATCCAGGATATTACGGACTTAATTGCTAAATTGAGCCTTGATGTTTCTCATGCATCGATCAACAGACTTTGCAAAATTAAATTAAGACAAGGGGATTAAAGTAATCACAACAAAACCTACTATTTTTAGGAAAAAAGGCTAGTTTAGTCTACCGTCATCAATTGCTATTGAGTAGAACAAGGTGATCTGAACAACTCACAAAATCTACAACCCACATATAGAAGCTAGTCTATAATCCTTCATCGACTATCAAATCCACTCCACTCCTATTACTTCTAGATGCCTACCCGACCGTGGCAATCGACCATCAACCGAGAACACGATCAATCAGCTCGACAACATATTACGCGTCGGCACACGCGGCAAATCTCTTCTCCCAAAAGATCGAGACGCCGGCGAAGGAGGCGACTTCGCATCCACATAGCAAATCAAAACCCTCGGATCCAACCCAACACCTACCCCCTCACCGAAACCGCAAAGGGTGCGCGACAACGTCCTCAAAATCCCAAATTTACCGATCTTGCACGGATGCGAAGCGGATCAGCCACACGAGACCAACACCGATCAAGACGACGACCAGCAGCCCCCGAAGGAAATCAAGAAACGCCTCTCAAATCCATCAAATTCCAACAAGCCCCCAGAAACAAAAAACATCCGGCGCAAAATTCAGCGCCCCCCACCCACCCACCCCCCCCGTCCAAGACGAGGGAAAAGAAAATCGATTTCACCTGGTCAAAACGGGGCCCCCTCCGAAGCTTCCACCCGGAACCCAACCGATCTTTGCAGGAGAGAACCGAGATCTCAATTCAAAAGGCAAACAGGCGAGAGAGAGGGAGGGAGGAAGGAACGACGTACGAAGGAGGAGGAGGAGGAGGAAAAGGCGAGCAATGATGGAGGAGGAAGGATATGAGGGATTTTGGAGGAAGAGATTTCTTGACATATATTTATGGGAAGATGGGGGGGGGGGGGGTGACCTAATTCCCGAAACGCCAACAACACCACCACCACCAACAACACCAACACCAAGACCTCCCTATCTCTCTCGTTTGCGTCGATTCTTTGCATTTTTTAATTTTTCTTTCTCCCTTCTTTTCTCGTCCCGTGTTCGGCGAGCCTGATCCCACTTTTGGTCCTTTTCTTGGTGGTGTGGGGTGGGTTGGGTCGGGGGGTCACGCGCGCGCGCGGTTGCGCTGCCCGCGTAGCGGCTGGGCCAGCGACGATCTTGGGCCGTCCTCGGGTGCTGCGATGCGCCCGTGGACGTGGACCGTGGGCTTCTTGGCCCAGCTTCGGAACCGATCGCGTGTCTGTCGTTTGTTTCTTTCCCCTTCTTCCTGTTTTTGGAGAAAGCTCTGCGTCTTTCTTCCTGTCCCTTGTCTAACGCAAGAATTTAGTTGTTGTGACTGGAGCTATATAATCCATGGGCCCGAGTCCAGACGGGAATTTCCCGAAAACCAAGTGTTGTTCCGGATATTTGATCGCGGATGATTGTTAACGGGACCCTAGTTTGAAAGGTTTCGAGTGTTCGGGATTTGAGGGAAGACTACTCGCTCTACTAGGGGTGAGTAACCGGGCGGTCCAAGCCATTCAACCTAGGAATCGATCCAAATCGAATCCTTTTCGACCGGTTCCAAGCCAGTTTGCACAGGCACCGGATAGATTTATGGACCAAAGTCCAAATCTCTAGTATATATAAATCAATTTGATGAAGTAAAGCACACAATTCTAAATTTCTTATGAAACCATGGACAGTGGACACAGTGCAACAGCTCTTCTGCGTAACTGTCTCATCTAAATTGTTGCATCTCCAACTCATGAACGAAGAGGTAGTAATTCATCGGCTTTATCTTTTCAATTTTCTGTACGAAGTTTCTATCGTTTAGATTTACTTTGTAATTTTCCCGTGCTCCCTTCCCCCTAGAGATAATTCTTGCACGTGTTCAGTGCACGTGAGCTCGCTCTATCGTCTCACCACCATTTAGTGGCCGATATCAAAGACGGGTCGTGATGCGTGGAGAAGTTCTGGGATACAAATGTTTTGAACAGGGAGGACAGAACAGAGCGATGGGATCTAGCAGACGGGTCGTGATGCGCGGAGAACTTCTAGGCTACAAATGTTTTGAACATGTAGGACAGAACAGAGCGATGGGATCTAGCGAATGAGAGAGAGAGAGACCAGTTGAAGTCCGCCAGCACTCCAACCCTCTTCCTCCTCCTTAAAACTTTTGTCAGTCGAGGGCTTACAAATCCCTTTCTGCCCACCTGCTCGAGGTCAAAGGACGAAACCAAATGCTTCACGACAGGCAATCTCCCCAACCTCGAAACCCACTGATCTCTAGCTGCACCACCACCTCCCCCAAGGAAGCATTAGATATGTTCGTGCAGCAGTGGACGTTAGAGGGCGGTGGTAATCAGTGCAGTGGGCGATTCAGAGGTCGAAGAACGCATGCCACGTGTTCAGCAGTAGCGTTGCCGCTCTTGCCCGACCGTACCTTTCGGAAGAAAGGATCGCATGTAACAAAAGAGAACCTTAGTCAATTCTCAACTTTCGTTTCCTCGAGTTTCTCCTATTGATACAAATGGTTTATAAACTTTGACCCAATATATAATGTGATTCGTCGACTTTTAATTTATTCAATATGGTCCCTGAACTTTAAACTAATGTTCAATGTGGTCCATTAACTTTTGGTACATGTTCAATATAATTCCTGAACTATAAAAAAATGTTCAATGTAATCCTTACATTATTCAAGTTTAAGAATAACATCAAATATTTTCATATAGTCTAGAGACTAAATTGAATATGTATTAAAAGTTCAGAGACTATATTAAAAAAATTAAAAGTTCAGAAAACACATTGCATATTGGATCAAAGTTCATACATCATCTGTGTCATTTTCTCAAGAAACAATAGGAGCCTTGCAGGTTCGATCTCGCGAGAAAGAGCCCAGAAAAAGGAGAGGAAAACGTACAAAAAGCAGGGTTAACTTTCTCGACGCTTGTTTTCAGGGTTTATATTCACGTCGTCTCCTTTCACCCCGATAGATTTAACCTCTTGGGTTGATTTCTAGCAAAAACACTCCGTTGTTCAGAAGTCGGCAAACCGAGGAGACAACTGTCGAAACATGCGCTACACAATTTTTAAATGTACCCTTGCCCAAAAAGATAATAATTCATCGTTTGTTCCAAGGGAGGAGACAGCGAGGAAGCGAAGGGAGGTGGCATTTTTCTTGTTTCTCCACCCTTCTCGTCAACATTACTATTCCGTACCTTGTTGTGCTACGAAACTTCAATGCTGGGAAACCTTCTCGAATCTCTAAGCAATAAACAATTGCATTCATCTTGGATGAAATCATGATGTGTGTGTGCGCCTGCGATTGCTTATCATTCTCACCTTTTCCTTGCGGATGCCATTCCAATTGAAGATGATGTACTTACATTTAGAAAGATCCCTGACTGATTAACTTTGTCGAAAATATGCCGTTAGAAAGTTTGATCTAAGCAAAAGTTGGCTCCGACATCGTGATAGTAAAATACTATCCAAAAATTTAAGCCAATAGGCTGAGGGGGAATCACGTGTATTTAAACAGCATACAAATCCTATAACACAAGCGACGTGAGAGATATTTCGATACATATCGCGTCAGATGTGCATATGCATCTTCATACATTACTACACATTACATGCAAAATATTGTCTCCAAAATTATTCGCCATGAAAAATGTAATGCACACGTTCGACGCAATTTTAATCAAATCATGGGTTTGAAAACATTTGTTTCTAAGGCTCCGTTTATTTCGCGTAAAACGAATGATTTTGAAAACATTTTCCTAACAATGACTTTTTGTATCGCTTACAAAAATAAATAAATAGAAAATATTTTCGCTGTTTACGAAAATGTTTCCACGTAAATTGCTGTCGATAATGAAAATATTTTCCATCAACTAATTATTTCAAGCGGCGCGGGCGGTCATTTTCCAAAAAAACATTTTCCGAACCATCCATTCTCCGCAAAACAAACCGACCAAGAAAATATGTAGACATAAATTGTTGTCAATAATGAAAATATTTTCCATCAACTAATTATTTCAAGCGACACGACTGATCATTTTCTACCCAAAACCTAGCTCCTCGTCATCTCGCCAAGAAACTCATCTTCTGTGATCGAGTGGATCGCGATGCATGATCAAGAAGAAGCTGTCATCTTGGGGGAAAACCACTGTATTTCTGTCCATATAAGTCGATTTAAGCGTGTTTTGGAGAGTGCAATTGTCAGGTTATTTTGCGTGTAGGTGCTGCTGACATTGCATGTGCCCGCCATTAATAAAAACTTCGCGTCGACCGAGATCGTAAACATCCATCGATCGCCTTCAAGGACTGCTGAATCGAGGAGTCAGAGATCTAACCCCGATTACAATAAAGGGATCAATGACCCTAAATCTTTGGCAGATCTCCCACTGATGATGACCTGCTCCTGAACAGTTTATCAGGACGATGATGATTGATTACGGTTACTTTTATGCAACGCGAGCGAGCGTTTTTCCAATTCTATCTTGAGCTGCGTAGGTAATCATGAACCTTAAAAATGCTCGGATTTGAGGGATGCAACAGCTGTGGTTCTGGTCCCGGAATCGTGCCCAACATGGGTGAAGATCGAATGGTTTTTTGCATAAAGAAGGTCCGGGCACTGACTAGTCACAGCTCTCGACCCCCCCCCCCCCCCCTTTTTCTAATAGATCCATCACATGTTTTACTAATTAGGGCAACATTGATGTAATTATAGGCGCGGTAATTTCGCGGAGATGCCCGGGAAAATTTCCCCCCGGGCCTCCGCGGAACGAAAATGCATTTTCTCACATCGGCTGTAGCAAGTGTCGAGGGATGCGTTATGCACGTAAGCGCGATCGCAAGTGGATAATAGATGCAGAGACACGAATCGTTTTTTAGATGGAATTGAGCGGGCGTGTAGTGCGAACTAATCACACGGGTGTGTGTTCGGTGATTACTTGGAAAGGAGAGAGCCATTTTGGATAGAGAGAGACAAAATGATGTTTTGGCTCGATAAGATAGAGGAGTATCGATTTCTAATTGACGATCAATTTCTTTCCCTGAAATTTTGTTATTTTCCGTATCACGATCCCTTCATTCTTTTTCGTAATCAACTTTCTTTTCGAGATTCATTATTGCCTGTCTCGCGCAATCACTTTTTTTTTTCCTCGATACACAATCAGCGTCGTGTGCTGGTCTATAGCCCTGAACGCCGCAAAGAGGGGGGTGCTTTAAAAGCGCCGCCAGATTCCAACCCCGGACCACGAGCGATAATGATGGAACGGCGATGGACTCGTGTCGCCGTTCGGGAGCGAGAGGATGGAAGACAAGCACGCCCGAATCGATCCGGACTTACTCGCACCGTTTAGCACGGACCGTAACATGGGATGGCCCGTTTCTCCGTCCGACCGACCCACGATCCCCATCCATCCCCCCACATTTCTCGTCAGAGGCACGTGACTCGCAAGTGCGCAAGATGGAGAGATTCGAGAGCTTTGGATTTCCATGTGACCCCCCTGGAATTTCCCCCCAGTTCCGCCCCCAGCTTAAAGAAAGAACGACGTACGGAGCACGAACCGTCCGTCTTCGCAGTTCCTTGCTTGTCTTTTACTTGCGGAAAGGAACGTCCTTTCGCTCCTTCCGTCCCACCCATTTTTTCTCTCCATTTCCTCCTTTTTCTTTCATCGTCTCTCCAACGTATGGCTAACGGCCAAATCGAATATTTCTGACATAGCAAAATCCCCCGTTTCTATTTTTTCTCTCCCCCCCCCCCCCCCCTTTTTCGGATTTCCAGCTCGTGATGATTATGCGGAACAAATTTCCCTTTTCTTTTCGCTAATTAAATGGAGGTTCGATCTCTCCGCACACCATGTCTGGATTCGAATTCCGCTATACCTTTTGGTTGGCGATGTATAAATCGCACTGTAAGGCTTTCTAGACCGGTGGTGTGCCCCCGGTCCTCCTCAACTTCTATATATCAAATAACAATTAGGAGGCAAAAGCCATCAAAAACCCTGAATTATGCCTAATGAAAATCTCAAATTTGTACTTGTGTAACATATTTACCATCGGTCAAAATTCTATAATTGAGAACCATTTAAAATCTGTCTACATGGACGCACGCTTGAAAACAAACACTGATGCCATAGCACCTACACGGCTTAAATGAAATCAAAACGACGTCGTTCTGGCTAAAGAATCGTCTAAACCTTAACTGAGGGTAAACATGTCATATGGGTACAAGTTTGATGCTTTTATATCACAATAAAAAGCTTATGATAAATGTGCCACAATAGATATAGTTTCGGGTTTTTGAAGTCACGAAAGAAAATTTAGGATAAAAATGTCACAGTGGGTATAATTTGAGGTCTTTTTTTTGTGGCCTTTTCCCTTAAATGAAAGATATATTGAAAAGGAAAAGTCCATCAAATTAAACCGACTATACCCAGGTGCCCTTAGGACAAAAAAGAAATACCCAGGTGCCCTTCTTTATTTTTATTCTCATTAATTCGCAATAAGTTTCTCAATAAAAACGATATTTTCCTACGCCAAATAACTAATGTTTCTTTTAAATGAAACCAATACCTTTGCTGCTTATTAGACTTGAGCAAATTCTAGACATAGAAAGACAAACAAAAATTCCAAAGGCTTTTTTACAAGAGTGGGGCAATTATCGCCAATAGGCATGCAGTCCTGCTAGAAAATGGATTGGGGGATGGGGATGCTGGTATCACAAGTGCGGAGTTCAACTCTCGTAATCTACAATAGGCAGAGCAAAAGTCAGAAAAAGAGGAGAGCTAGACAAACAAAAGAAAAGGGCAATTATCGATGATAAATCCTATACAGCTGTCATTAAAGTCGGAATTTATTCCGCCACGGAAAAACTTTCGAAAGCACTAATAGCTCTTCTAATCAATCTAGCCGTGGCGGAGGATAAGAAATCGTAGGTTCTTAAATAAAATAGCCTTTCCACGTCAAAGTTTGCTCACATTAACCTAAAATAAGAGATAACCAAAATCCCATTTTTTATCACGAAAAACCAAAACATTCTACCATGGAATTATGGATCATGTTAGTTTCTATTTTTTTTTTAAATTACTCATTTCACCCATGATCATAGGAATGGTGTTTTTTTTATGGTAAGTTGTTTTTTGCTTCGACAATTAAAATTAAAAGAAGCTATTCCTGTAAACGTATTCACGGTCTCTCCACATAATGGAAACGCGAATTTATAGTAGCTTGAATTATTCCCCCTTTTTTCCTAGAAAATAATCGGGCGATAGTGAAAAATAGTGAAAATCTCGAATTTTCTAAATCGAGAGCGGATCTCCGTGTGTATGGAGTAGGGGTACGATATAAGCCCAATTCTTCGTACTATGTAGATAATTTAATGATTTGGCTGCTCATTAGAATTTCAACTTGTGTATTATCCAGTCCATTATATATTTGAACTTTTGGCATATATAGACGGGAAAGAAAAACACTATTCCTATGATCATGGGTGAAATGAGTCATTTTAAAAAACCAGAAAATGGCATATATATTTCTATGGTAAGTTGTTTGTTTTTAAACTTCAGCCTTTTTTTTTTTTTCCTTTTTTGAGTTTGCTTTTTATGGAAAGAGAAAAACAAAAAAAGGCAAAAAAAAAAAGAAAAAAAGGAAAATTAATAAAAATAAGTAAAAGACGAAAATTCCCTTGACCCGGTGAGGTTAGGCCCTTTTTTGAGACTGACATAGTTACTTCAGATCCTTATTTGAATAAAGATTCACTTCAAGTCATTATTTGAAAAAATGAGAGCACTTCGGGCCCTTATTTGGAATTTTCCCTATATAGATCGTTCGACTTGCCCATGCTATTAGAGAGTTATTTCATGGATTTTTCTTTGATGGGTTTTCGCTGAAAAGGAAATACGAATACATTATGCAAAGTTTGACTGCCGAATAAATTCAATAAATTAAAGCCCCCCGCGGCGGCCGAAATAGAGCAATTGATTCGAACCAATACCTTTGCTGCTTATTAGACATGAGCAAATTCTAGACATACAAAGACAAACAGAAATTTCAAAGGCTTTCTTATGATCATGGGTGAAATGAGTAATTTAAAATTTAAAAAAAAAACAGAAAACGGCATGTATATTTTTTAGGTAAGTTGTTTTTTTAAACTTTAGCTTATTTTTTTTCTTTTTTGAGTTTGTTTTTTTATGAAAAGAAAAACAAAAAAGGAAAAAAGAAAGAAAAAAACCAAAAAAATTAAAAGACGAAAGTGCCATTGACCTCAACGAGGCTAAGCCCTTTTTTGAGACCGACACTTCATATCCTTATTCAAAACAAAATTCACTTCAAGTGCTCACTTGAAATAAGGTCAATTTCAAATTTTTATTTAAAAAAATGAGAGTATTTCGAGCTCTTACTATGAATTTTTCCCTATATAGACCGATTGACTTGCCCCTTGCCCCGCTATTAGAGACTAATTTCGCGGATTTTTCTTCGATGGTTTCTCGCTGAAAAGGGAAATACGAATAAATTACGCCAAGTTTGACCGCCGGAAAAAAAAAAAAAAAACTCAATGAATTAACACCCCCCCCCCCCCCCCGCCCGCGGCGGAGGAGGAGCGTGCGGACGACGCTCCTGTCCGAGCGCGTGAGGTCAAAACACGACACCCCCCCTCCCCTCCCCTCCCTCGTCTCAGCTCCCACGCAGAAGAATCATAAAACTCGTACCTTTCGTCTCCTCACTCAAATCTCTCCTCTCTCTCTCTCTCTCTCTCTCCTGCGAGAACGCTCTTCGCCTACCATTTCGCTCTGGAAATGTAGGAGGAGGAGGCGAACCCAAAGGCAAGCACCGTCGTCTCCGGCGAAGCACCGTCGTCGCCATGGGGAAGAGGAGGGGCAAGGCCCTGATCCCGCACTCCCACACCCTCCCTTCCTCGCCGTCCCACTCCTTCTCTTCTTCTTCCTCCTCCTCCTCCTCCTCCGACTTCGAGTTCACCATCTCCGTCTCCCCGCTCAACAAGTCCTCCTCCGCCCTCTGCGTCGCCGACGAGCTCTTCTACAAGGGCCAGCTCCTCCCCCTCCAGCTCTCCCCCCGCCTCTCCATGGTCCGCACCCTCCTCGCCTCCTCCTCCTCCGCATCCGCCACGTCCGACTCCGCCACCACCTCCTCCCGCGACTCCTCCGGCAGCTCCACCGACTCCCAGTACTCCTCCTTCTCCTCCTCCTCCGCCGCCGCCGCCGCCGCCGCCTGCGACTGCGACTCCTCCCGCCCCAGCTCCGTCACCGAGGACGACGAGTTCCGCCGCCTCCACTGCGGACCGGGCGGGGGCGGGGGCGGCAATCCGGGGGCGCAGATCAGGAAGGGCAAGTACTTCCTCGCGAGGTTCTCGTCGGTGTTCAGGAAGGAGCACGGCAAGGGCCGCGAGGCTCACTACGGCGTGTCCGCACCGTCGTCGTCTTCATCCTCGTCGGTGAAGAAGCGAGTGAGCGCGACGGCGAAGGAGGTGATACGGAAGTACTTGAAGAAGGTGAAGCCGCTGTACGAGAAGCTCTCGCAGAAGCAGCAGCAGCAAAGCCAGCAGAAATCGGAGATCTCTCCGCCTCCAGCGAAGACGAGCCCGAGAAGCAGCTTTTCTCAGCCGTTGAAGACGGAGAGGACGGTGCGGGAGATCATGCTCTCCTCGGGTAAGAGCGCGAGGAAGGACGGCAACGGCGGCGCGTTCTCGAACTCCTTCTCCGGCAACCTGAGGTACCCGAGGAGGAGGACCTGCGCGTCCAGCTGCCCCTCGTCGATGCGGTCGTCGCCAAGCCACTCCGGCGTGCTCCGCCGGAGCGGAGGCGGAGGCGGCGGCGGCGGCAGCAGCAGCAGCTCGGAGGCCTCGTCAATGGAGGAGCTGCAGAGCGCGATCCAGGGCGCGATCGCTCACTGCAAGAGCTCCATGCTGCAGAACAACTACAAGGTCATGATCAGCAACGAAATCTGAACCCACACCCCCCCAAAGAACCCGAAAGACGAAGAAGAAGACGGGGTCCATCACGAAGCCGCTCCAATGGCGGTTGCTGCTTCATCTTTTTCATGTGGGTGCCGCTCTTTCTTCCCTCTCTTTCTCTCTCTCTCTCTCTCTCTAGGATGCTGACTTGGAAGTTGTTAACGGAAAGTGCTGCAACTTTCTCTCTTTTCTCTTTCGGGTTTTTTCTTCGCTTTGTAGCCGAGAGAGAGAGAGAGAGAGGCTGTGCATGTGACGATGATGAGAAGAATGCTGCGCGATCCAGAAAGGAAAAAAATCATTAACTTTCATTTTCTCGGGAAGGTCTTGCCAGCAGGAGGCGGGGCTCGGAAATGGGAAACCCGAAATCAAATGGAGGCAGGAGGTGACGTGGCCTTCGGGAATCGAGATTTCGCCAGGCCCCTTTTCGATTCCCCCTCCTTTGTTTTTTTTCCTCCTTCTGACCGCCCCTCGTTTCTATCTAATCTGATTCGCCACCTTTAACGGTCCGTTGATTTCATTTCATCCCCCTGTTTGGAATCTTTCGGATAAAGAAGAAAGTCGTTTTCCTTTCCTTTCCATTCAACATGTTAAATTCGTGAAATTCGTCGAATCATCGTCATCATCAGGCAAGGCAAATCTTCGTTGTAATTTGCTAGCTGCACCATCTTGGGGGTTCGCTTCGAAGTTCTTGGCATTCCATCAGGAACATGCACACGATAGATCTCGAGCGCTGACTGTCGAATCGAGCCCGTGTAGCTTTTCCTCTTAAACCCAATTCACATCCATTACGGCGGACTCGAGCGAAATCCGTCTTCCTAGCAAATCGCGCATCCATACGATGGATTTGGACGTTCATTTCGAGCACCAGACCGAAGATTCCCGCCGTCCGGTCCCCGTACAATCGCATGTTTCTCCGAATCTACCGCGGCCCAGAGAAACGGAACGAGGAGATGAAGTGGGGGGCGGGTGGGGGTGGCTTTTGAATATTGAAAACGAAAGGTGGTCAAGATCTGAAAGGAACACAACGAAGATGGGGAGCAGGTACACGCGAATCTGGTCCGGGCCATTTCGAAGCGGCCATGTGCGCGAAATTAATGGAGATCCAGCTTTTCCCCCCCAAGCTTTAAGATAACGACGGTGGGCACGAACGACGCTGCCAAGTTTCATTCAATGTCCCCCCCCACCACCCTCCCCCCCGCCGTATATTCTCTCTTATCGAATTGCTATCTTGAAACATCACGGAAGCATAGCATATGGCCCTGAAGTGGTTAGGTGATGCGTTTCTGTGACGACCCGATTCCCATCCTGTGTCCTGGCCTTGTCGCCTCCTCGGAAGAAGAAGACGTTGGTTTTTTCTTTCTGATTGCCGACCGAATAATGCAACAAAGGAGGAGGGATCGGCTTGCATTAGTTTGGGCATTCTGTGCTAGCTGAAGCAGCATCCGACCCTAAGGGTTCATCGGGGCAAGCCTCGAAGTGCTTCGGGGTCGCGAGATGTCCGGTGGCTCTTCAGGCACTCGGTTGATCTCGTTTGCAAAAGAATGGGTCCGGTCGTTTCGTACGTGTATCGAGCAATTGTCGGGTGTTTCGAGATATCACGCGTAAGCGAGGTGCGTATCGGTACCCGACGTCCCTTTTACCCGCAAGGAGCAATCTTATTCAGGAGAACGGCACCGTTGCATCCAAAAAAATAACCTGTATGTCAACGGCGTCCAGGATGGAGTTTTATCTTGAAAACTTCGAATTCGCGGTCAAAGTAGTGCATTAACGAGCAATTATTCGATTTAGAATGCATTAATTACATACAAATTTACAAATATAACATATAAATCATGTACAAATTGTCAATACATCACAAAATGTTAAATTATTCGTGATTAGTTTGCTCAATAAGTACGTGCAACTTTTTGGCAAGATTTGCATTTGAGCGTACCCTCTTCTTCCCCGGAGGGGGGGAAAAAACACCTTAACTTACGCAAAATCTAATGAAGCGCAATAAAGTGAATCCTCCGCGAGTACATCGATAACTTTCTGGGCGATCGGCCCTGCAATTTGCTGCTAGGTCGACTGTAGACGATGATATAATTCAGACATTATTAAATTAATTTTTTAATGTTTCGGCTCGACAGCGGCACGATCTTATAATTCACGAATTTCTTTTGAAAAAATCCGGTCAGACCATCATAAATTGGGGGGCTCGCAAGTACCCGACATTGTATCATCACTGAGAAAAGTCTGAATCGATATGATCGAGTACGGAATTCGGCCCCCCCCTCCAACTCTTTATGATTGAGCAGAAAGTTTCAAGGAATTTTTTGAATGCGTCCGCCCGCTATTAAAATAAATATATCCTTTTCTTTTTTCTTTTTTTGCTATAACTATTTTTTCCGTCACTTATCGATAGTTGACGGTCCACTTATTTTGGAGCGGATCTTAGTCTCGAATCCGTCCTCGTAATATTTCTATCGTCTCCTAAACATTCGATCGAAAATCGCGATATTAGACCTGTCCCATTTAAGTGCTCGGACATCGGTCATGTTTCATTTAGTTTTAACAACCCTTTATTTCTTTTTTATTTTCCTTCTGCGATTCAATCGAAAGGTTATCTTACGCGAAAAGAAGAAATGACCCGCGATGGATGGTCTCGACATCGACCGATACAAGTCGCGGGAGACTACATGCTCCGAAGGTTACTATCGATTGTCTCGCGATATTCTCAATTTAAACCACATCGAAAAATCCACGACTTAGAAGACAGACCCAGAAAAAAAAAATTGATAGTAACCAAAAAAAAAAAAAGAGAAGGCAGACCCAAAAATGAAAACATTCAAATAGGCCGTGAAAACTCAAGTGCAATTAGGACCGTACACCTGTCACTTGGCAATTGTGGGGCCCGTTTAGCTCCTGTCGGTCCAGAAAATCAGAACGCATCCAAATACAGGAGTTATGCGTGATTTTCCAAATCTAACTGAGCAAAATCACCAGAACGAAGGAAAAAAAAAACAAGAAACAAAAAAAATTTGCAAGATCCAACGGAGCTGGTTCGACCACTCATGCGAGGGGGAGCCTGCGGGAACGAATCTGAGCCGTCCAATGCACGACGCCGCTTGGGTACGGCGAGTACTTGGCCACCAATGCGATCCGAAGGAAATTATTTTTCGAAAGGGGAATTCGGGCCCCACTTTCGCCCGGTGGACCGTCCGATCCAGAAAACGGGTCCCACTTCATTTTGAATTATTAATTTCCCCGAAAGATTTTGCATAATTCGTGCTTATCCTCATTTTCATTTTGGAATATTTTTCCCCATATCTATTTAGGGTAGAGAAAATGACACAAGCAGTCTTTAAACTTTTACCCAATATGTAATATGATTCTTGAACTTTTAATTTGTTCAATATAGTCCCTGAACTTTAACCCAATGTTCAATATGGTTTATGAAGTTTTAATATGTTTATTATGATTCCTGGACTTTTGGTGCATGTTCAATGTAGTCCTCAAATTATATGAAAATGTTCAATGTAATCCCTGAACTTGCATATTTCGTGCTTATCCTCATTTTCCAATGAGGGCGCGTCTGTATAAAAACAACATTTTCCTGATAATAATTATTTGTGGCGCTTTAATAATTCTATCGTCCTCGAATAAGTTAAGATATGATTCGGGTAAGGACCAGGACCGGCACGGTCCTTCACGACCAAAGATAAATATCGATAAGGATTGCAAAGACAAAGATTGCATGATTCGGGTTAGGACCGGCACAATCACGTCACGTCCCACTGATCGTATCCGTGTTTGCCATAATCAAAAAGCTTTCGAATTGACTACGATCATTCCTTATCAACAATGGATCAGGGCGCGTCGTGTCAATTCTAATTTAGCGCGATGGTGGTACCGTTCCGTGTTACGTTGGAACTACCCTCGCATTCACAAGAATTGTCGTCTCCGGTTCCACGAATAACCCCAAGGTTCGTACTCGAATCTACTTTCGTCTGTCGTCCTGTTGCCGCAGGCTGATGGAGACGCGAGAGAGCGCACGGCAAAAGGAGAATTCCGAATGGCCAAATAAGGGAGAGTCCACGTGTCAGAAGCCGGGAGGGTCCACGTGGGCGGGCGAGGCGGGGGCCATGGGACAGGTCACGTGCGAATTCCTCACCCCCGCCCCCATCATCATCGTCATCATCATCCTATCCCCTGCGATGCGATTTGCGTCCCAGTCACGTGATGATGACCGCATGATGAAGACACGTCAGCCTCTCCAACTTCTCTTGTTGACGTGATATGTGATTGGGTGTTCCAAATCCCAGAGGATGATATCGATATTAGCCGTCGGATCAATCTGACTTAATCGGACAGCCGAGAAATTTCTGGCTCGAGAATCGAGGACTACCTATTTAAATATTGCTTCGAATCAGTGTCCGCATAGTTCGATGATCTAGACTTAATCGGTTAACGAGTTTATCTATTGGAATGTCACTAATTGCATATGAGACGCGTAAGTAAAGGAGCAGGGTTTCGAAACTTGCACACAACACGCAGTACACACGGTAACTTATAATTTAGAAATAAAAATATGATAGAACCAGACCCCAAAAAATAAAAATAAAAACCCTCTTTTCTGTTCAATTTAACCTACTCCACGGCGCAATTTTGCTTTAACTCCATCTTTGACTTATTTTTCTTTTAATGTAAAATCGGGAGTTCATGCGATATCTCGATTAAATGTAACTCACAATTACGTTAACCACTCATTTGCTAAGTCGAAGGCTGAATCAAGATAAGACACCACTTGAATATAAGTACCAACATTTATATCGGACATGTCTTAAAACGAGATGTTGCAAATCTAGGTGCTAAAGTTGTGCACGTCTTGAATGGTTCCTAACATTTTGCGCATCACCCGTGCACTGCCCAATATTGTATCCTCTCAAATCGATCTCCCTCTCTTACAGGTGAATTTCCTCTTAAAACGACGTGGTAAAAATGGGGTACTAACAAAGTGTAAGCCATCCAGTGGAGAGGGATTACGAGTATATTAAGATCATGAACGACGGCATCTTGAATTGAGGAGCTGCATGTATACATGAAATAAACTTCAAGGGGGAAAGAAAGATGCGGATCTAGATTATAATATTATGTTTGAAATCGAAAAGTCCAACCAAAAAACGGGTAACCGATTAGATGGATGGAGA